GAACCACTCACACATGGCTGCTCTTTTCATTTCTTCCAAAGCACTGTTTGATGCCAGGACAAGCACCGGCATTTTAAGAGAGGCCTCTTGCTTGTCCCTCTTCTTACATACCATGTTTCGCCTTGACTGCTCCTTTTAGTGCATTTCCAAAGATTGCAACCAGAAGAACAGTTCAAGACACTGACTCTGCAAAATGCAGATTTCCATCAAGGACAAAGACCACCGATGGCACAGATGCCAGCCATCTAAAATATGCAGTTATTTCTAAAGCACACCTCGCTCCAAGCCTTCACCAGTTCCTGGCAAAATTCAGGGGGAAGGATTCCATTTTTTTTAAGGATCAGAACAGCACTCAATCAACAGAGTGGGGAATGTGATATTTTATTCATTCATTTAATTTACACACCATCTGAAATAACTCTGGGCAACTTTTAAATAAAAACCAATTCGTTAAAAGAAAAATACAACAATAAATTTGTATTTATACAAATACAATTTGCATAAATGATGGCTACACTCCTATGTTACCAAAAAGAGGAACTGTATGTCCAGAAAAGATGGCTGAAAGTACAGTTTTGCATAAGCTAGTACATGAATAGGGATAGATTCTTAAATATGGAGGGAATACACAGTAAGGAAGCCTGTGGTCCATCATGTGCAACTATGCAGCCCAGATGCTATGTAATGATGGGAAGTTTTAGGACTCCTGCTGCTCTCTGGCCTGTTCATTCACTAGATCTTCATTATGATCTACAGTATTATTTCTAGAATTCTGATAAGTTACTGAATCACAAACCATGATACCTGAAAATTCTCTTTCTTCTTGCATTAAACAGTTTTTCCTCACAAGCTTTAACTTGTCTCTCTTTTATGCCTCCACTCCCTTTCTAACATACACAATAACAATATAAATGATCGTTGCATTGAAAAACCTTGAAAAGTAGCATTTCTCTACCAACATCATCTTATGCGAAAGATAGGGCTACAGTCTATCTTACATATCAGTTTATTGCATGCATCAGACTAAACCAACCAATTTTAACCTGGTACAACTCCCAGAATTTCTATCCAGCAGCATGACAACCCCTTTAAAAAAAAAGGCTGCCCTACCCTGTATGCAGATAATACCAGCCCTACAGTTCCTGGAAAAATAAGGGCAGTCTAAGTCATTTCTTAATTGAAATTCCACGGGGCTTTATATTATGTCATTCCTTTACATTTAATCATCAAGGAACAAGAAGTGTCGGAATTCCATGGAAGGCAATGTTCTGGCAAGAAATAGCATGAACAATAACTTTACTATTGTAATATCAATTTCAATCCTTAATACAATTTTACATTATAAAAAAGATTATTAAAAAATGAATGACCAGAAGAAATGAGTAATAGGAAGCAGGTAACAGTGCCTAGACATTTTTGGCTGATCCCCCAATACTTTAACAGAATTGGAACTGGACCTACTTGGATGGGAGATCACCAGGAGATACGAGGCATAAATAAGCTAGAGACAAGTTGAAGACAATCTCAGAAGGCAATAACAAATCATGTCCATGTTATTGTTAAGAAATGTACATGTTTATGCTCATATAGTTACAGAAGATAAGCTCAACTTTGGGGGAATATTGATTTTGACAGGAAAATGATTAATGCCTTCATGGTTTCCAAAAGAGAATAAAGGAGAAATCACCAAAGCAACTTCCAGTTCAATAGTTCAACAATGATATCTAGACAGACATAGATGGTAGAGATATATAAGTAGCTATAGGAAAGCAGACTATGCAAATAGGCTAAGATACTTAAAGAAAATTTTAAATATTTTATGTATACTTTAATCACAATTATTCATTTCAGATCTATTCCAAACTAGCAAAATATTCTGCCATTCAATGAAATTAATTAAATGTGGATAAATTATATTAAGCCTTATTAACTAATGTTACTCTAATGTTGACATCATCAAAACACAACTGAATTTTGCTTGCAAATCAGTTCCTCTGCTTACCGTCTGATTAATCATATGAAACTGATCTCTATGTTATAGGATTTTGGAGGGTGGGGGTAATGGCAAAAGTAATGTAGATTTATATAGCTCTTTTCAGAAATTTAATAAATTCCTTTACTGTTTAATCAAAATGGGGGGGGGAGTAAAAATACAGAGAAATGCATATTTAATTTCATGCTTGTTTGAAAATAGCACATTTTAAAATTTGAAAGGGCAGCCAAGAAAGTGGGATTCTGCCTCAACTACAGTCATTGACAAAGATTAAGAGATTCCTTCTAATAGAAATGATCATAAAGTGATAGAAGAGAGCATGTGATGACAATAGTACTAAAAACAATGTAAAACTTCATCATTTCTTACCCCAACCCCAAAGATCAGTGAATGTTGGCAAATATTCCTTATCTTGGCCCAATCAGTATATCTAGTTCCACACCTCAAACAAGCTAATAATAATTAGAAATATATACTCTATTCACTATCCATAGTTGCCTTTGAATTTTCATCAAATTTAGTAGGTTTTCATTGCTTGCTTGGTTGGTTGTTTTTATTTTTTGCAGCAGAGAAATAGCTTTTATTCACTACCAACAAAGTATCTACTAATGTTGTATCTACCAACTTTTCCAAACAATTCTGAAAGAATCTCATTTGTAATTTCAGTATGTCTAGAATATCAAGCAAGGCAGATCCTGCTATATTTGTATTCTATCACACCAAGAGTCCCTTATCAAATATGTCAAGTATTTCCTCCTAAATATTATACCCTACAATGTCTTTGAAGGAAGACAGTAGTCAAGGAAATATAACAAGCAAACAGAAAAATTACACAATCCTTGTAGTTATGATAATAGCATATATTTTGCTGATGTGCCAATAAATGCAAACCAGTAATACTGAAAGCATTAATTACTACAATATAATGACAGTAGAATAATGTATGAGCTTCCTAAATATCTGGTATAAAAATGAAGATTTCAAATAGATGTTAATCATAGTCGTTTCTTTAAGACAAAATATGCAGTGCCACTGATACTGGTGGGAGCAAATCAACCATCAGAAATTAGCATTTGTAACCATCATGAGTAATTATTAGCCCAAACTTAAAATAAAAACATGTACTAGAGCTGTTGGAGAACACTGGGAATGTATAGGTTTCCAGTATGTGGAAATCTATATTCAGGTCATTTAGAGAGCAAGAATCAAAGTGTGCAGTTGATTCCATCATGAAACCCATTGGTTAGCTTCCATGGAAAACAAATATTAATATGGGGTCAAATAAATCTGGTATGGTTCAGGGGATGGGGATTTGCAAAGTGCTTCCAAGTTCATTCTTCAAAGAATTGTGAAATTAGACAACAATCAATGGATTGGAATGTGATCTCCCAGGAGAGACCATTCTAGGTGCTTTCCTTGAGAATCAAATGTTTGTTCAAGGCCTTTGGGTGTCATCTCAAAAGGACACAAATGCTGGGACACTAATAAAGTATTGTTGTGTCCATAAACTGCTGTATGATACCAGCAAAAGTTTATCTTCTCATATTAACTTTTAAGGGAAAGACCTTTTCCCAAGCTAACATGCTGAAGGCAGGAGACCAAAAAAAAGCCTTTCTCTTTAGACATGTTTTAAGTGGCCCTGGGCAACTTGCCTGAGTTCTCCAGTTTCAAGCTAAGTAAGACAAGCCCCGAATAGCTGTCAAAGAGTATTGTGCTTCCAATGCTTCCTCTCCTTTCATGTTCAGCCTACCTCTTTCGTTGCTCACTGCATCGATCCATATTGTGATAAAGTTAAATTGCTATTCCTAAAAACATAGTCATGTGGAATTGTTGTACAACCCTAAATAAGATCTAGTCACTATACCACTTCCTATCTCTAACATAATGTGATATGAGATGTGTGAATGAGCCATCACAGAGGCATTCATTTTATTAAAATTGTAATACTGCAAAATCACAAAGTTGCCATTATTTTTCCCAAGCTCCCAAGTATTTTTCAGCCAACACACTGGTTCTCATGCTCAGGCTACCATAAGGATAAGTGATAATTACCTAACCAGCAACGATAGAAGAAATCTCTATCTCCTCACATTATTTCAAAATATAGCAAGCACCCAAACAACAACAACGAGTTTGTTCTAGAAGGCTGAGAGGTCTTCTCAACCTGGTATCTTCCAGATGTAATGAAACTGCTGTTATCAAAATCTGGACACTTGCAGTTTCCACCAAATCCGGAGGGCATCAGAACTGGAGAAAAACTGTTGCATGAAAGTACACTGAAATCAATGAAACCAAGTTGCACTATTAGCTAACTAAATAATCAGCCTTTTAATACTGGATATATTTGAGGAGGGGCTGTAAAACGAGGTCGGCGGAAACTCTTTTGCATCATCCTAAAGACGACGAGCGAGCTAGCATCGGGCATCCGCACTTTGCAAGGTTAGACCTTCGAAAGAAATCTAGCTGCTCCTCTATTACATAGGATCGCCTTCTTAATTGATCAATATATGTTAAGCCAGCTAATGAATTCCGTTTTGCAACCCTGCCCTGTTCGTTGTAGTCTGTTCCCACAGGGAGTTGCCGCTCCCGGGAAGGGGGGGGGAACAATCCCCAGATGGGTTCACGTGAACCAGCCTCAAGGAACCCCCATCATCCCCCAGAGACGACCGCAGCCTTTGGGCACATCCAAGGAGTCGCACAAGAGTTCCGGGGGGGGGGAGAGAAAAGAAAAGCTAAGGCACCCCTCAAGGTTTTACTTTTCCTCTCCTAGTAAAGAGCAATTTAAAAAAGCATTCTCTCCTAGATCTGGAATAGACCAATAGTAGAAAGTACTACAACTCCCAACAGGCGTAGCGCGCTTGGAATCAGTCCTAAGGGCGCTCGCAGTCCTGAAAGTTGGCACCAAGGAACAAAGTTGGGGGAGGCTTCTGGGGCCTCCGCGACGCCCTCCGTCTCCCTCCAGAGCCGGGCGAGTGGGGGGGAGAGGAGGAAGCTGCTTCAAACCCACCTGGACAGCGCGGACCAGTTCTTTCGGTTGAAGGACATGCTGCTTGCTGTCTCTCTCCGACGGGCTTGGACCGTGGCGGATGCTGATCTTGTCTACCGATTGACTGCTTTTCCTTTTCCAGGGAGAACTCTGCTGGGCTCCCGGGCAGCAGCGAGAAGCCCCCCTGGCAAGAGATGCTGGCTGGCTGGCTGGCTGGCTGGCTAGTTCACTCCCTCCTTTGCTTCCTTCTGCGCCTCGCAGCGCACCTTTACCCTGCGATGCCACCCGTCTACTGCTAGGTTGCCTGCATCACATGGTCTCTTATCTACCTTGACAGGCTGGAACTGTAATTTGTCTATTAGCAGCACCTTGCAAAAGGCACCCTGCGAGGGTGGGACGTGACCCAGCCTGCGCACAAAGGCAGCCATTCTTTTGTGCCCGGACTGGGGACGGATTTGAATTTAGCTGCGCTTTCGGGCCCAGGCGCCCTGGATTTTCGGGGGCAACTCCCTGCATAGAACCTGTTTTTCCTGCCACGACTGTATAGGCAGAAGTGGCGAGCTGGGGAGAGGAAAAAGAAGAAGGAAAAAAAAAAAGGCCTTCCTTTAGCAAGTTAACCCTATCTCAATCGCAGCTACCCAAGTGCAAGTAAGTCAGTTTTGTATCATTTTCAGGGGGGCTCGGTTTCTGAAGCCCCTTCCCTCTGCTGCTGACAAGTAGATGATGAACCACTGATGCTACATTTGCAATTTGGAGAAGTGCCTGTTTCCCTTTCACCTGGTGTCTAAATAATGGCCACTGATTTAGAAACGGTCACTGGAGATCAGACATGCGGCTCCTTCCAATAAATCAGAGGGTTGATCCTGTTTTGCCCAGTTAGGATTGAAAGCAGTGCTTCTGCTTTCAGACAGGGTGCTTTCCCAGTGCTGGGGATGGAACGGGGACTTTCTACAAACAAAGCATCTGTTCTCGAATGGGAGAAGAAACTGCACATCTCGACACACTTTCACCTTGACTCCTCTTTCTCCAAAAATTTCAACTAGAAAAACAGTCCAAGAAAATAAGCATTCACAAAAATTCCTTCAGGAAGGGGAAGCCAGAGATGGGATTCATGTCAGCCGGCTCAAGTTTGCAGTTCTTTCTGAAACATATCTACTGAGTATCTCTGAGTCTTCGCTGGTACCTGACAAAAATACAGGGAGGATACATTCAGATTGTGGTTGCTTAATAGCTTTTAAGGGTCAGAGCAGGCATCAATCAGCAACAAGAATAGGGAATGTAATCAGATATTTATTGCCAAGATAACCACTTATATATATCATCAGAAAAAGAAAATGTAGTTCCAGAAAGGATGGTAGAAAGCACAGATATTGCATTTTAAAGGTCCTCACTTTTTCCCCCCTTTGACTATTGTAAATCTTACTGGCAAGAGGTACTGTATTGTCCCCATGATATATCAGATCACCTTGTCATTAGAAAACATGGAAACAACTCCTAAATCTTTTCTATAATGAGCTGCTACATTGCCACAGCAACATCTCTTTTTGCCCTGAAAGGGAATAGTTGAGGCAAGCTGACACTCAATTAGAAGATGCCCCACTCACATGGGAAGATCACATTGAATGTGATTACAAAAACATTGCAGTCAAAACAACTAAATAGGCTCAGCAGCCAAAAGCTGATAGTGCTGTAAGATGACACAAGTGATACTGAGCTCTGGTTTTCATTCCCTTCGTGGCAGCTGCAGGGAGAAGAGGGGGAAGGGGTGGCAAAGGATGACACATGCATCATGATCTCCTTATATCATTATGTTAATGAAGCGAGTTAAGTATTTGTGTTATGCATTACACAAGCGCTAAGTTGTATCTTTGTATGATTCCATGATGTTACATGTTTTCAACATATCAACCCAACCATGGCAACAATCTAATTATTTAAACTCTGCAAAACAATGAATGAATCCTAATCAGTGACTTCACACTATAATTTCCCAACATATCCTGTAGCGATTCAATTATGGTTGGAATTCAGGCAACAACTGGAATCACATCTCCATTATTTATGATTATTTCCTCATAAATTGTATTCCTAGGGAACACTCATGCCCATAGTTCTAAAAATACTGTTGACTCTCCATCCATCCAGGCTTCCTGCTGAAGGCTTATTCCATCCTCAGATGCACAGAGAAAAGTGACTAAGATAACCTGCTATTTGAAAAGGGGAACCTATTATCCTGCAAATCCTGAGAAACTAATAAATTTTTCTTTTTGACACAAGCTAACCAAATATGATTTGAAGGAAGATCACCTGAGGCAAGGCAATCCAGACTTAGTCAGTGGTGGGATTCAAGGAATTTAACAATCAGTTCTCTGCCCTAATGATTTCTTCCAACAACCAGTTTGCCAACTGCTCAGAAAGTTAACAACCGGTTCTCCCGAAGTGGTGCGAACTGGCTGAATCCCACCACGGGACTTAGTACTTAAAATACAAATGTCCAGTACTATATCATGCATGTGTACATGCATAAAATGATTTGTGTCCTTTTTCTGAGAGAATCCATGGATGTCAAAACATTTTTTAGCAAAAAAAATGGACAAGAGAAAGAGAGCAAGACCAAGGAAAGCCTATTTTCTGGTTTTCCTCATCAGCAAAATGCAAGTTGTACTTGTTTCATTTCCATTGCTGATTAAATAATTCTTGACATTCATTTGAGGTGTACAACCAGGTGGAGGTGAGGGCACATTTAGCCAATGAGGCCACAGTAGGTTTCATAATTGCAAATTGGCTTCTGGATAGGGCTTGTCATATCTCTTGATTGGGACCAGTGTTTTCTGTCTCCCACCACCACCTCTAGGTTTGTTGTTGGAAGAAAAGGATAAATACTATATATTTTTTTGTGTTTTTAAAATGTATTAAGCCTCCTTTAGGGTTTGTTTCATAGTTTTTGTGACATAGTTTTTGCTACTGTTTTTCAGCTGTTGGGACTGGAGAGGACTCTGAGAACCACTGGACTTTACACATTGGCCTTTCCAACCCCAGCTTCAATCAAAGTGCATTAAGGTAGAAAGGAGTATAGGTAGTCCTATGCTTACAACCATTCATTCGAAGTTACAATGGCTCTGAAAAAAAGTGATTTATTTATTTATTTATTTATTTATTTATTTATTTATTTATTTATTTATTTACAAATATTTATATGCCGCCCTTCTCCCTAAGGACTCAGGGCGGCGAACACAGGTTAAAAAACATACTATAATAAAAGAAGCCCAATTAAAACCAAATTAAAACAGAGACAAATAAATAATAAAATCCAGGAATCAGAAACAACCCATTTGTTGAAACAGCCAAGTCTTTAGGCCTCAACAGAAGGAGCGGAGGTCAGGCACCCGTCCGAAGCTCGGTCGGTAATTCATTCCAGAGGGCAGGAGCGCCCACAGAGAACACTCTACCCCTGGACATCGCCAGCCGGCATTGTCTGGTCGACGGTACCCTGAGGAGGACAGCCCTGTGAGAGCAGACAGGATGGTGGGAGGCGGGTAGGAGATGGTCCTGCAAATACCCCGGACCTAAGCCATGTAGAGCTTTAAAGGTAAGTACCAGCACCTTGAAGTGGATCCGGAAGACCACTGGTAACCAGTGCAGCTCACGTAGGAGAGGTATTACACAGGAGTAACGGGGAGCTCCCGTAACAACCCGCGGGCTGCATTCTGGACCAGCTGGAGCCTCCGGGTGCACCTCAAGGGCAGCCCCATGTAGAGGGAGTTGCAGTAATCCAAGCGCAGAATTACTTATGACAGGTTTCAACGCTTATGATTGTTGCATCAGCTCCATGATCATGTGATCAAAATTCAATTGCTTGGCAACTGGGACATATTTATGATAGTTGCAGAGTCCTGGGAACAACATTCCAAATTGGCTTCCAACAAGCAAAGTCAATGGGGGAAGCCAGATGTGTTTAATGACCACAAGGTTTACTTCACAACTGTAGTGATTCCCTTAACAACCATGGCAGAAAGGTCATAAAATCAAGTGGGAATTCGTTAGCCATCATGCTTAGCAACATGAAATTCTGGTTTTGATTGTGGTTGTAAATTGAGAATTGCCTGTATCGGGAGATATAGAGGAAGCCTAGTCCCCTTAACTTTTTCTGCTTCTGCTCATAATATTCCCCCCCCCCAGAAGATTACTAGCAAGAGCACAATTTGCTTAACATCCTAAGGAATCTGGAGGCCCAACTAGACTTAATCAAGACCTATTTTCATCTACCCTGATAATCAAAGCATTAGGTGAATTCATGTCCCAGATGTTATTTTCAGCAATTTTATTGTATGAATTGATTATCCAATGTGGTTCCCAGCAAATCTTCCCTGTCAGTGATGAAGCTGCAGGGGTCTGGTTCAGGAACTCCTGTGAACCAGCCAGATTTCCCTTTCGCAATATATTCCTTGCTGTTACCTCCCTTATTTTTCTTTCCTGCATTTAATTTTCTTATCCAATAAACCTGAGTGACTGGTTGGTTTGGAAGCAATCTCCCATCCCTTGGGCGGAAAAGGAGGGGGATTTCTCTTGTTGTTGACAGTTGAATGCAGACGGTTAACATAGCATTACTTTAATGAAAGGTTCCTGCCTGCAATTAACCTGGGAAATAATAAATCAGTCAAAAGCCCTTCTCCTCCATTTTTAACCAGCTTTTCTTTGTAATCGGCTTTTAGCAACATTTCATGAATGCAGAAAAGTCAGTGCCTTAATAAGAATCCTTCAGAATGCTGCTCCCAGGTGAGAGAATAGTAAACATCTTGTGCCATCATGTGCCCACCATTAGCAGGACTGAAACAACAGATCCTGGAGTTAAAGTCTTAATCCAGGAAGTTTGAAAGTCATTGCCATAGAATATAGCTGATGCTCTAGCTGAGATCTTAGCAGATCTTTCAAAGGAATTAGACCATAGTATGGACAAATAGGAACAGCTACAGACTGTATAGACAGTTTTAGGGACAAAAAGCTTCATTCTTCAGGGATTAGCTATAATAACACCAATTCAGAGAAACAACTATCTCTGTTCCTTGTTATTTTATCAGATGGTCTGATAGATCCTCCCTCCTTATGGAGGCCATCAAACCAATTAAGAAAGAATTGTTTTTGGGGTGGATGTATCATTTAGACCCACCTGAAAAGCCTATTTCCACCACAGTAAGAACCATAAAGTGCTAAGTGCTATAATTATTTTTAAATAAATAATCCAA